GATTTAACGTAGTTCACAAATTCACCGTTCTCATAACGTAGAGGGCAGCAGAAAATCCCTGACTTTTTACACTATCGGTATTTCAGAACATGAGACACGAAGTCCCATAAGATGATAGGTCTATCCTATACCTCGTCGGTGATAATAGGAAAGGAGGGTAAAGGAGAAGTTGACACTGATTGAAGAACTGTGAACCTGTTAGAGATCCTTTTAATAAACGCATTTCAAGATTATAAAATAATCAATATTCACTTAGAAACGAATATTTAAACATTTGCCAGTTGCCTTCGCCTCCTATCCTACTACTCAGAATCATTGCAGATATGTAAATCGCTCGTTATTGATAACTGGGAAGAAACGCATCAACGAATCAGGATAAATCTTAGAAATTAATAATTATAAGATTGGTCAGTAGTAACTAAGGACATTTTGTAATTAAAACAAAAAGGTATATGAAATGAAGAGACATTCATTCCATCGATAACATCGTAACGGAAAAGACGTATAAAATTACGTTTGTCAATTAAATTGGTTTTTCCTTTATAATTAGTTTAAATTTAGTTCCAAAGCTTAATTTAAATCTTAATTGCAATTTATTATTATCGTTATAATTCCTATTTATAATTATCTATAAAGCTAACGCGTTTCACTCTTTAATTATATTGAGACTCAGGATTCCCTGAGGGCCCACGCAACAATTAACGTTACGCTACACCTTTTTTTGTTATGTTTGCAGGCAAAAAATGTTTAAATATGTGTGGGAACCGATGAAAAGAACAAAAAGTTGGTGACTGGGCAATGTGTCAAGAACACAGTATATATAAAACAGTCTCGATAATTCCCTCTAAAATACGATTCCTACATTTGTATTATATACATATATAAGGTATATAAAGGTGTAGCATAATGTTAATTATATGGTCATATATATATATATATATTAGTTTGTAAAAATTGTAAATATGGTTAAAATCGTATCGTAAATGTACATATTCCAAAAAAAATAAATATTCTGGAGGAGTATAAAAAGTATTTAATTCCACCTAATTTAAATGGAAGCAATTACAGAAGCCGCTAAGTTATAACGTAAGATTTGCTCTGTTTCTACAGCGAATCTGACGTCACGTTCTACAGCAGAGTTACTCTGTTTATGCTGCGAATCTGACGTTACGTTCTACAGCAGAGTTACTCTGTTTCTGCTGCAAAGCTGATGTTACATTATACAGCAGAGTCGTATACAGACAATGACATTGTAAAGAAAGACAACGAAATTATTTTATATAGTTTATTTTAGTTTTCTGTTAAGTTTGAGTTGGAAGCGAATTCTGGTGGGCTACGACCGAGCGTGTTTCGTTTACTTCACCTTCTTTTGTAAGACGCACTACGAACGTTGGGTTTTGCCACGTGTAGAAAGTTTTTGTTCCTCTGTATTGTAATTGCATAGTATCTAATAAATGTTTTAAGTCGCACACTACTCAAACCTGATTTACAACAGACATACAACCAGAGTGGCAGATACATTCAGAATGCAGCGACAGATGTATATGAATCTGAGGTACTGCCTGATCGAATATTACATCAGATGCACGGCATCTGATGTCAGTTTGCTCATAGGGCAGTAATTCATATTTTTACATTATATTTATGCAGTAGCGTTTTCGTTTTTTTGTTTCATAATTAAGATCCATGAAAGTTTTGAAATACGTTTCCAACTTAGACTTCTAAATAATGTTTCTGAAGTTGCATTGCCTTCGACAATAAATAATGTTACTGAAATTCCTTGCATTCCCAGATTTTTTGCTAGTTCATTAATAACTGTTTTTGCATAACCTTTCCTTTTATGTTGTTCCAAAGTTTGTACCATTCCAATTCCATGCCAGTCATTATGTATAGCCCAAGAAACTAAGGTATCATCTTTTTTTAAATATAATCCTACTCCACCATTCATTTCTACCAGTGTGCTTATGAATTGTGTGCTTAACTCAGGATGTTCTAAATCTTTATGTGGCCATTCAGAATGTATTGTAGCAACATCTGATTTATCTAAAGCTTTTATGTAACATTCTTCTGTTATACTGATAAAAAAGAAAATAAATAATCAATATTATATGTATAATATATTCAGTATCATAATTAATACTTGATAAACAAACTGTCGATTTTTATGCAGAATGACACTTTCTAAGTAATTTTTGACGACAACAGCAAAGGTAGGAATTTATTTCATTTCTTAAATATCTTATTGGGTACAGAATAAAGTAGAAAACACATTATATCAGGCGAACGTTTTTTCTCTTTGGTATTACACAAACCCCTATTGGCTATAAATGCATAAAATCCGCAATCTATTTATAAATAATATATACAGGGTGGGGCAATAACTATGTCTACCAATAATATAAAAAAATGTTATATATAAAACTTACAAGGTATAGAGGGGGGCATATTGTGACAAACATTTTCTGCGTGGGTGAAGGCACAGAGGAAATGTCAAGGTCATCTCTATTTTTTTTAATCGAATGCTATATTTTTTTTTATCGCGATGTGATAGCCGATGTTGAGACGACTTCAGCGAGGTATCATTGAAGGTCATACAAGGTCAAATGTGGTAGTAATTTTTTATTAAATTATTATTTATTTATTACAAATAACGGCAATATTCAAAGTGAACATAGTTATTGCCCTACCCTGTATATGTAAAGCTTAATAAGAATAAAATAGACTAAGTTCATAAATATTATATAACATTGTATACTAAATTCATTCATTTAGTTATTCTTGTTAACTGTACATATTATTTGATGCATACACAAATTAATGTGATAATTACCAAACTTCTATTTCTGCACATTCCTTTGCAGATTTAAAATAAAAGTTAGCTGGTGTTACTAGTTCTACTTCTATATTTTGTACACTTTTAAGTTGTTCTACTGCAGAAAGCACAGTCGATAAAATGCATTCATGAACACCAGCGAAATATATTCCTTGATTCCAATTTATAACATCAGTTTCTGTTATTACTTTTTTTAACATTTCTTTATTTGGTTCTAATGCAAATAATATCACTAAATGTAGAGCAAACTAAACATATAGTAAATTAGAAACAAATTCACTAAATATGTGTGTAATAAAACTTGTTTCATATTCATTTGTAATACTTACACGAGCTATTCCAATAAAAATACCTTTCTCAACATCTCCATTTGGACAATAAATTTCAATCAGTATGTTTGGACGCTTTTTCTTCCATTTAATGGCATTTTCAATCCAGTAATAATACTATAAGTTTATAATTGAAAACAGAACTTTGTTGTAGAACTTTGTAATTGAAAACAGCCTGTTCTTTTTACAAAATGCATTACATGTATTTTTATCTATAATGAAATACTATAAATAATTTCCTTAAATTCAGAACAGAAAAATTTGACCTTAAAAATAAGATCCTTATTATATTAAATTGTTTAATAAAAGTATAGAAACCCAAGGAATTATACGAAATTTAATTTCTAAACTCCTTAATTTCATTGTCATAATAAAAGAGAGAGGAAACATATGCAAAGTATGTAAAACAAAATGAATTATTTATTCTGTACGTATACTTAGAGAACATTATTATTTATGATTTTGTATCTATCTTAACTTGTATAATAATATGTAATCATCAAGTAAAATGTATATATGCAATAAAGACCATAATGTAAAACACAATGAAACACATTACAAATTTAAGTTTGATGAAAATAATTTTTTTAAATAAATTTATAAATGTACGCATGTTTAAATGAACCTATGTATACTGAAAACTATGCACATTAAAACTAAGAAACTTACATATGCAAAAGTAGGCCAATTATATGTTGTTTTATTTTGAAGCAATTGCCATTTCTCAAAAGGCAAAAGTTGCAAAATATCTGTGGTAAGAGTTTTCTCTGACATTACCGAGTTTAAAATATATTTGGTTAGTAACGATCTAAGGATGTAACACTATATATATATATATATATATATATACTTCCGTAACCAATTAATGGAGTAAATATATGTTATATATCTTATTATTTGTAGGTGTAGATAATAGGTATATTCGCCTCATATATAGCCCCTGATAATAGGTATATTCTTTTCATCTTTCATAGCATACATGTATGTAACGTGATTGCATATCCGAATAGCACCGAAAAGGAACGAAGTTACCCGATTTACCATTATCTACCCCCTTCTTATTACCCGCGAATCTTATTACCCCGCTCAGTTAATGCTCCGTCTATATGTGTTTATGCTTCCACCACAGCCCCGTTAGAAAGAGAAGTAGTTGCTCCAGTTGTTGCTCTCTCCCTCTTATGTCGACTACAACCCTATCATAAAACCGCGCAGTCTATTATATATCCTCTATGATATACGCACGCTATGTAAAGGTTGGTGATGGTACGCAGTTCATACTGGTTACTGGTTCATACACAGAGATTGATAGAGATTATTACACATATTATAAGTGGCGGTGTGCATTTTTCATGCAAATGTAAATTTATTGTTAGTTTGTTACATACAAAATGGGTATATTAGAGAAAATATCTGAAATTGAGAAAGAAATTGCCAGGACACAAAAAAACAAAGGTTTGTACATGGCATAAGAAAATTGTAACCTTTTTCTTAACCATATTTTGAAACACATTCATTGATCATATCTTTATGACATATGTAAGAATTTAGAAAATATTCAGACATTTAAGAAAATCTTATCAGTCAATTATGAGTAGAATTTTATACACTTTTATTTACTTTATACCATTTGAACCAAATTTTATAAAATTATTTTTAATTATGCATTGCTTTTTTTAAAATCACGTTCTGATATATGTAATATAACGGTAATCAGATCGTAGTATTCTTCATAATAATGATTACTGATTTGCAAAAATGATCTAAAATATTAGTATCTATATATTTTATTCATGAAAGTTATGAGTACAATAATAATTTGAATGGCTGATGATTTATAACATTATACATTTCTCAATATAATCATGTTTGGAGTATAAAATGACTGTAATCTTAATGCATTAATATAATATTGCCTTTAATTAATGTTTGGATTACTGTTAAATATGTCTTTAATTTTCAGCTACTGAATATCATTTAGGATTATTAAAAGCAAAACTTGCAAAATATAGGTCACAACTTTTAGAACCAGGAAAGAAATCTGAAAAAGGAGAAGGATTTGATGTGTTAAAATCTGGGGATGCAAGAGTAGCTTTAATAGGTTTTCCTTCTGTGGGAAAATCTACTTTGTTAAGCACACTAACACATACAGAATCTGAAGCAGCATCTTATGAATTTACTACACTAACTTGTATTCCTGGTGTTATAGAATATAAAGGGGCTAATATTCAGCTTCTTGATCTTCCTGGAATAATTGAAGGTGCAGCACAGGTAATCATGATGTTAAGCTTTATAAGAACATTGTTAGGCTGCTGTAGTATATGTATATAAACAAAAACAAGGTGACATAAGTCATTAGTTACTAAAAGGCAAATATTACACCTTGTATACTTTGTTGCCTTTTATTGAGATACATCAGATCTAAAAAAGAAATCGGAGTTGAAAGGATTGCAAACTTAATTTCAATATGAAAATAGTTTGACTCAATGGAAAATAGTGTCAAAACTTGGAATACGTGAAAATTTAATTCATTTAAGACTCACTTAAAAGTCTAATTTTCATTGCTTATGCTTAAAAATATAACATGCAGCAACAATGTGAAAGTAAAAGATGCAGGAACGTAAACAGATTGTACTAGGACATTTTTCAACACAATTAAGAGTTATGCAGGTGACATTTTAGTTACAGTAGACTTGGATTAAATCACACATAGATGGGTGGCAAGATTCCATACTACGAATAATGCTATAATAAGCACAAGACAGCCTTACAGTGTTTTTACAAAGTTTTATATTTTGATTAATATAGACTGATGTGCAAAAAAGGTAAACACCTAGAAAATGTTATTTGAAATAGAAATTGACTACCCAGTTGATTTGTTCTCTGAAATTTTTGTTTTTAGTATTATTTTGTATTGATGTTGGTCATTGTATGTATTAAAAAAATGAAAAGAACAACCTTAAAAAATGTTATATGATTAATAACTGTGTTATCTCCTTATGTGTATCACATAAAACGTTAAATAAACACTAAGATTAAACTTGAAGATACACATTTACTACATTTTACTGTCTCATATGCTATATGAATATTAATTACATTGTGTATTTTTTTGGCAGCTTAATGCTTACAATTTTCTTATGTATGCACAATACTAAATTTGCAACTTTTTGAGAATCCATGCTACTAATACAAGTATTAAAATTCTGCAATGTGGAGATAATTTTTCTGTTTCAGACATGAGCAGTAGCTCTTGCAGAATTATAAGTGTTGTAATAAACATAATTTATTGTTAGTGATCCCATTTAAGGCTGTGTTAAAGCTAAATAAATAGCTAATAAAAAGCTAAATAAAAAGCATTACATAGTGACAGGAATATTCAAAAGTTTAGAAACTTTTAATATTCATGAACAACATTGTTTTTGTTGGGATATTTCACTATTTTTTTCACCTGAGTGTACTATAAAAGTTTCCTAAAATAAAGAATTTATTAAACTTTTATGCTTTTGAATAAATGTTTTAGGGCAAAGGAAGAGGCAGACAGGTGATTGCTGTTGCTAGAACAGCAGACTTAGTTCTTATGATGCTGGATGCTACTAAACAGGATGTACAAAGGCAACTTTTAGAGAAAGAATTAGAATCAGTTGGTATACGACTTAATAAGAAAAAACCAAACATTTATTTTAAAGTGAAGAAGGGAGGTGGATTGGCCTTCAATTCAACATGTCCATTGACAAATGTGGATGAGAAATTAGTTCAAATGATTCTTCATGAATACAAGATTTTTAATGCTGAAGTTTTATTTCGTGAAGATTGTAGTGCAGATGAATTAATTGACGTGATAAATGCTAATAGAGTATATTTGCCATGCCTGTATGTACATAACAAAATAGATCAAATATCAATAGAAGAAGTGGACAGAATTGCTAGGCAACGTAATAGTGTAGTAGTTAGGTAAAATTCTTGTCTGTATCCTTGTTTTTGTTTTACGAAAAAATCCTTTTTATGGAGAGTTATTATATGTTTTAAATAAAAGTTACTAATCTATAGTTAAAGGTTAAATATTTAATTTTGTTTTACAGTTGTAACATGAAATTGAATCTGGATTTCCTGCTTGAGACTTTATGGGAACTTTTATCATTGATAAGGGTATACACAAAGAAACCAGGGCAACCACCTGATTTTGAAGATGGTTTAATATTACGAAGAGGTGTTACTGTGGAACATGTCTGTCATGGTATTCATCGTACACTTGCCCAGCAATTTAAATATGCTCTTGTCTGGGTAAGAAGTCATAATTCTTTATCTATAAGAAATATTAATATTATGTATATAATTCGTTGAAGAAACAAAGTGTAGTCATACAATCGAATGAAAGCTAAAATACTGATGTTATATGCATTAAAACAAAGGATTTGACAGAAAAGTGAAGGGTGAATGTCTTTAGGGGGGGTCTGAAGGGTGATTATTCAGCGTTAGTTACAACGTCTAAATTGTTTCAATTTATTGTCATTGACTATTTGAACACAGAAAATACTCCATAATTCGAAACGTGGGAGGGAAACATGATCGCGTGTTTATCGTAGTTCTAACAAACTCGCAATCGCTGTCGCTCTCCCTCTATATGTTACACAGTGAGTTTATTTATTGTGTACAAGCTTCAGGGTATCGTAAACAAGTTTTCCTTCCATTCCTTTAATTCACCGAATCACAATGACATTAAAAAGTAGGAAACAGAAGTTATTCAACATTTATTTATTCATGTAGTAGTGTTTATTTTTTACTATTTAAACATAATACAGCATAACAAGTTAATTAAAAGTTTCATTAAACAGAGTGTTGAAAATGAGTGAATAATGTTTAATATGTGTTTTTCAGGGTACAAGTACAAAATATTCACCTCAGAGAGTAGGATTGCAGCATGTCATGCACGATGAGGATGTTATTCAAGTAGTTAAAAAATAAATCTCACAATTTTATATACATGATCTATAAATGACAGCGTGGTAAAGTTAATTTCTACATAGTTTCCCTTACATTTTATACATGTTTACTTAAAAAAATTGATATTAAATTGTTTCAATTTTTAATTAATTTCTGTAGAGTAATTATGAACATTCACACTGTATATTTTTAACAATATAAAATTTAGAGTTGTTTACATAAAGTGTATGGCATCGAATCCTCTTTATATCATATTTTGTATATTCAAACAATCTTTCCCAGTCTGTAATTTAATAAACAATATTCAACATTTAAGTTTTTGTGTGTAATATGAACAGTTTTATCAATTCATGTTACAATTAATAAGAAACTAATATTAACTATTTTAAATGTATACTGTATAAATTGCTGATAAGTGAGAAAATATTTATACTCTAATATAAGAAAGTCGATTTCTGATTATATCAACTAACAATACTAAATTATACAGGGAGTTTCTGATCTTGGAGTTAACTGTATAAGAAATTATAACTGAATCCTGTTATATGTTTGATATAATTATTATTTCTATTATGCAGACTTTGTAAGTGGATTATTAAAGTAAGTACCCTGCATATTCATGTAAAGGTTGAAATCGACATATATGTAAAAAATATGTATTTTTTTGTCCTTTAACGAATCGGAAAGTTGATGTTTTTAAACAACTTCGAAAAGAAGGAGGTATATAATTCCATGTGTATGATGGGCACCAGGATAAATAATCATCTCTGGCTGAACTTTACTTTGCTGGACCAACAATTGTTGACTTTTTTTATACCTCCTGCTAGTATTCAACGAATAGAATCTAAAAATGCAAGTTTTAAGTTTAGGAATCCAACGGTTAAAAAGTTATGCGTATGTAAAATCAAGTATTTTTAGCGTACTTTACAGATTAGTTTATCGCTATATTGGCTTCTATACAAAAATTCGTCCAATGAGTGGAATTCACAGAATCAGTATTTTGCTTTGAATAAGTGGTTCTTTTTTTATAAACATATTTGAATGGCCGCCACCCACATGCATCTCCTTACAAGCAGTGACACTAAGGCACTGATGCGGAATCCGTGACTGTCACGCAGTGATGCCAGAATCGTGGTACTGTTTACCCTCACCACTCTCCCACTCCGACGTACCATCGTCTCCCACTGTGACGTCCCGGCTACCCCCACTTTACGTCCACCGTGCTGGCACACCAAGCATATCCAAGCCCTGCCGTGTGCGCTGGCCGTCGAGAGACGGTGAGCTATATTTAGAAAAGAGTGGGGGTAAACCGTACCACGATTCTACCATCCTGCTGCCTTGGAAATCCTGTTCGAATATCACTGCGGCGAAAATTCACGTTCTCGACGCGATGCCCCGCAACCTAAGCGCGTGAGCAACAGTCAAGAGACCCTGTTGGAATCCCAATGCGGCGGTTTTACTTTTTATTTTTAATTATTTTATAATTTCACTTTGTAACCTCTAAGTAAAATAAAAAAGTTAAAAAATATTAATTCGGGAAGCATTTAAAAAGAAGAAAATAAATGTTTTCCACTTCAATATCTAAATTTTTTATTATATACATACATATTATGTTGTATACACATAAATTATTTTTACAATTAGATGTTATCCTTACAACCCTACTCATTACTACTCTGAACATTCGTACAAAAATCTATTAGATTAAAATATTACGTCATAAGTGTATCTTCAGTCTTTTAAAATTTGTTGGCTTTACTTGCCACCTCTAAGTTAAGTTTGAATGAAAAGTTAAAAAATATTAATTCGGGAAGCATTTTTAAAATTCATTTTTTTTTGTTAATGATACATTTCGCCGCTAACGAAAACCGCTGCAGCTGGTCCACGTATATACGATGCCGAATGGTCTTTTGCTTTTCTTCATATGAAAAGAAAAAAACACAATTGAAATAGTAATTTTCATAACATAAGATAAAATATTAAGATTGCTATGAACTTATCTTTTTTTTGTTGAATTATTCTGTAATTTCGCTTCCTCACTTTTGAGTAGAAGGGAGTCAGTCAGAAACAAACTACATAACAACAAAGAATGGATGGGACACCAAGTGGGATTTAAACCGACCAAGTCAGATGACGTCACGGGGCCTCGGCGTGAGGCGATGGTATCGTTCGGATTACAATGTAATACACAGAACGAATCACCCATGAATAAAAATTTAAATTTTTACTCCTTTCAGTGTAATTTCTTAAAAATGTTATGAATAAATGTAGGAGACTCTCCTGATGAAAAAAAGTCCAAACCCGACATAAATCAGACTATATTTAATAACATACATTTCGTATCGCGACATTAAGGGAAAGGTGGGATAATTGGTCACAATTTTGCTTTTTCGTTGAAATAAAAATAATTGTTTATTTTATTTATATCTCATCATTTGCAAAGATTGTTAGTATTGTGGCAGTATTCTAACTTGCAAGCATTCGATAATGAAAAACTACTTTTAAGTATTGAACTTGGTTCCATTCGTGCATTGTTTTACTATGCTGATATAGTATTGGATGTTCCATTTATTCCTTGAAACAAAATTTACTTTGCTGCTGATGATAGCTTGTGAAATGTGATTACAAGCATCTTAGATTTGATTGTATACGTAATTATTTATTTATGTAATTGTGTAATTGCAATTTTGTATTTTAACCACAGTTAAATAAAATATTTGGAATTATTCATTAATACTGTTTTGAATAATGTTCAATCTGTATACATAAAAGAAGAAGGGGATGCAGCAAAACAATTTTTATTCATACGTTATGTCGCGATACAAATTCTATCTTCTTAAAGAGACTCTGATTTATGCCATGTTTGAACTTATTTTCATCAGGAGAATCTCCTACATATATTTATAACATTTTAAAGAAAGTACACAGTAAAAGATACGCGTCGCCGAATACATTATTGTTCCATTATGTCAAAAGAGTCTTTTGAAAAGAGGTACTTTAGGAATTTCAGAGGTTTTGAAACGGATCATTATTCGCAGTATACTGCTTTTTCGAGCGCCTAAAGCATTTCTTTCAAAACCTCTGAAATTCCTAATTATCTCTTTTGACATAATGAAACAATAACGTATTCGGCAACGCGTATGATTGCCCTTGCCGTTGAAACAGCTTTTAGAAATTGATTACTATCGAAATTTCCAAACTATTGCAGTTAAATCTAATAGATTTTTGTACGAATGTTCAGAGTAGTAATGAGTAGGGTTGTAAGGATAACATCTAATTGTAAAAATAATTTATGTGTATACAACATAATATGTATGTATATAATAAAAAATGTAGATATTGAAGTGGAAAACATTTATTTTCTTCTTTTTAAATGCTTCCCGAATTAATATTTTTTAACTTTTTTATGTTACTTAGAGATTACAAAGTGAAATTATAAAATAATTAAAAATAAAAAGTAAAACCGCCGCATTGGGACTCGAACAGTGTCTCTTGACTGTTGCTCGCGCGCTTAGGTTGCGGGGCATCGCGACGAGAACGTGAATTTTCGCCGCAGTGATATTCGAACAGGATTTCCAAGGCAGCAGGATGGTAGAATTGTGGTACGGTTTACCCCCACTCTTTTCTAAATATAGCTCACCGTCTCTCGAACGGCCAGCGCACACGGACAGGGCTTGGATATGCTTGGTGTGCCAGCACGGTGGACGTAAAGTGGGGGTAGCCGGGACGTCATAGTGGGAGACGATTGTACGTCGGAGTGGGAGAGTGGTGGGGGTAAACAGTACCACGATTCTGGCATCACTGCTGTCACGGCCCTGATGAAAGCTACGATCAAATCGCTTCACCCTATATTGTATCCATAGTATATAGATCAGTGCTCCCGAATCTTCCATGAGCGGTGTTGCCACGTTGTTCAGTACGGCTAGTACTAGAGTCGGCTGTGGCTTCGTCCCTATATTTCTATGTCCATGATTGAGAACGTATTCTATTTTGTTCCATAGTATATGGTACGTATCATGGCGCCAAAATGTTACACCGTGTATGTATGTAAGCGAACTTTACAGTATATTATTTATTTTTATAATATTAAACTTTTATAGTAGACTTCGTATAGTAATGAAGGATGAAAAATATTACACAGTATCTTGTGGACACTGTAAAATCTAGTGAAACTACAGCTGTACGATCAAATGGTAATACAAAACCAGAAAAGGGTGATAATGGTTCAAAAGAAAAACGTAACCGTGTGAAAATCAGGATTTCACGAACAAGTACAAAAGAAAGGGTATGTGATATCATAGAGACCAACAATGATATGGTCAATAAAACACCCAGCCCATATACTAAAGAAAAGACTGCAGACAAAAATGCACATGAAACACCCAAACGATCTTCATCATCAAAGTTATCATCAGTAACTCTTAAAAAAAGTGATAATAATGATCTAGATTATTTATCTTTAGAAACAGGTAAGTGCAAGAAACAAAATGATAAAAGTAATTCTGAGAATTCATTAAAACATGATAAGAAACGTAAAAAGCAATTAGAGGATAAAAAAGATACAAACAGCAATACAACTTTGTGTAGTACATTCAAGAATAAAGATCTTAACCTTATAAATGTAGTGAATGTTAATACTACTGAAGATGAATGTAATCATGAAGAATCAAATGCTTTCCAAATTCTTATGAGTCGTAACAAACAAATTCAAAATATTTCACACATAAAAGTTCTTGAAAATGAAGATGTAAATACTAAAAAATCTGAAGAATACAAAGCCAAATTAAAACGTTCAAAAGAAAGACTAATAGTTTTAGCAGATAAAAAAGGATATTCTAAAAGAAAACTATCAGAAATACAAGAAGGTGGAAAAATAGAACATATTATTCAAAATCGTATTAAAGTCTTCAAAGAAGATGAGAAAAAAGGCAATAATGTAGGTGCAACCATATTTAGTCAAACACAGACATGTGGGAGTTTATTAAATTACTTCAGGTAATAAATGCTTTTTCTTGTTAACTAGAAAGTAATATTAATTTAAAATTTTATTTTATAAATGATAGCAAAGCTCCAGTGGATTTAACGGGTTCAGATATCTCAAACATGTCTACTATTGTAGTGAAGGCTGATGTACATATGGCAGAAAATTCTTTTAAACCTAATGTTTATACTTTAAATTCGAACAGCGAGACACAACAAAATAGGAAAAATAGATTGGATATGGAATTTTCTGAAATAGATAACATTAATGTTATAGAGTCTGAAAATATTAATACACATAATAAAACGAGAAAATTTGATCAATGTGGACACAATAAGCGCAGGTGGTCCTTACGAATTAAGCTTCAGAATTATGAAGGTGGAAATTTTGTATCAGGTAATGTAATTAGTATATTAAAATAATGATCATAATATATTGTATAGCATAGTTACTATACATGAAGAAACCAAATGCAAGAGTCTCCCAAATTTTGGTTGACGGCAATGAATTTTCACACTTTGATCGCTGATTTTTTGTATTTTTACATAGTATTACTTGAATATACATTACACAGTTACTAAGTATTTTTTTTTATTTTTAATATAGACAACAGTAGTGACGAAGAAATATTCTCATTACATAATAAAACTAAATTAAGCATAAAAAATTCCAAAAAATCTGGAATAATTAAAAGTATAGATTCAGAAGAGTTATCTTTAAAAGATAAAAATCCAAAAGAAACATCAAAGCAAGTGAATGATCAAACGAAGTTGAAATACTTAAAGTATGAGCTATCAGAAAATACTAAATATAATAATTTAAAGCAAAAAAATAAACTTATATCTGATGATTACAAGTCCACTTCAGCAGACAGTAATAATTTGGAAAATTGTATTAATTCTAGTGTAGAAGACTGCATACTCATTAATGACAGTAAATTAAAGAAAAAAGCAGCTGATAAATTGGCTCCTTTATTTACAAAACGACAGAAACCTGATCCAGAAACTACAGCAGCACGGAGATTATTTTTGCAACCAGATATAACAGATAAGAGTAAAAATTTGGTTCAAAAAGTAAATGTGAATAGTACACTACCCTTTCCAGTTCTGAGTCACATTACGCAATTGAGTAGTTTAATTTGTAATCAAACGAACAATTTTAATATTCCAAAGGAACTTTGTGCTCAGTATACTCCAGTCTTAAATGTAAGCAATTACAAGTGTATAATGAACTTCTCTGAGGTAAAATTAGAACCATTAAAAAACATCAAACCAAAGGTTCAAGAAGTATTAGTAGAGATTGAAAAATTCTGCACTGATGCAAGAAAAATGTGGAATGCTATTTCACTTATTTTTAAAGAATATTCTAATAAACCATTGTCACCAAAAGTGGGAAGTAAAAAAAATAAGCAGTTGCAAGAAAGAGAAAGAGTAGCATGTAAACATAATGAAAATCAATTTGAAAATTGCACTTGGACCTCTAAATATAGGCCAAAATTTGTCGAAGACGTAATTGGAAATGAAGAAGCTGCTAAAAAATTAAAAGAATGGATAATTAGGTGGAAAACATTCACAAATGAGAATGTTAGTAGCGGAGATGAATTTGATTCTTCAGACAGCAACTCTGCAAACATGCATAAGAATAATCAAGTAGCTGTATTATTAGGACCATATGGAAGTGGTAAAACTGCTAGTGTGTATGCGGTAGCAGAAGAATTTGGTTATACGTTAGTATTACGTGCTAACAATATTAATTTTTCGAAAATTTACAGTTTCAATATTTTTTATTATACATAGTAATTGGAATTTTTCTTTATTTAGTGTATTAGAAGTAAATGCATCGTCTAGAAGAACTGGAAAAAAACTTTTAAAAGAACTGGAAGAGGCAACTAAATCACATCGAATTAAAAAAGAAACGAGCACATCTGCTTTTCATAATTTAATTTTAGATGACATTGTACCAAAGAAAATACCACAAAATTCTCTCATTCTCATAGAAGACATTGATCTTGTCTTCGAAGAAGATGAAGGTTTCATTTCCGCAACATATCAATTAGCATCAAATACAAAACGTCCAATTGTCATGACATGTAGAGATACTTGTCCACACTTAAGTAAAGTAGCACCGCAACAAAACAGAATATATTTTAAACATGTTACTGGCAGTAGAGTTTTCGCATTCTTAGAATTAATTTCATTAGCAGAAACTGGTTACAGACTTCCAACTGATTATATAACGGTGAGTATCACAAATACACAAATTGATTACAAACGACTGTTTCATCTATCCATATTATAAGACTAATATGTATCACTTTCGTGATATACTAATTAGACTCTGGATGTGTACGCAAATTCATATTCGTATGGAGTAATTTATAAAAACGAGGAGTAAATAGGAACTTATAACATAATTGCATAGTTTTGTTAGGTGAAAAAGAAAATTAAGTCTGTATTCTACATTATTGACATTTTTATTCTATTGTGTTTTATCGAGACGCATTTGCTATGTATACATAAAATCTGCAGTCTAATAACATTTATCATAATAATTTAAGTACTTTGAAGTAAATAGTATCAAGTATTTTCTTTTTAAAAATGAGTACAATAAATAATTTTTTGTTTGTAGGAACTGGTACAAACAGGAGATTTGCGCAAAGCTATACTTAAATTACAGTATCTAATGCTATCTAATCCAAGACAAATTTCAGAACAATCTATTATTTTTAACAACTCATTCTGGCAAAATATGCGACATTATTTGTATAAACCAGCAGTGAAAGCAAGTAAAAGACAGAAAGTGGAAAAGATTGCGGGTGGTGAAGAAACAAATTACAATAGACATATATTAGATGATGTAGCAAATAAGTTAGATAACATTGTTCTATTATCATCTCTAATTGACATAGAAGATTCGGCTTTAAATTTATGGCAAATAAAAACACAACCCAGTTTGTCTTTAGTTGAAAATACTGATTTGTATTCAGCATCAAGCAATATATGTTTAGATATGGCTGAATGGATTAATAGAAAAGTTATATGTAATAGTCATTTAAGTGAGTACAATCGAACTTCGTATCAAAATAATATTACACGAAAGAAACAACTAAATAGAGAAATAAATGTAACGTTATCACATACCACATCTTTATTGCTCGATCGTCATGTTCTTTCTACAGATTATTTTCCATGTTTAAGAACGATATGTAGAGCAGAAGAGTCTAGATCTAATATGAACAACAAAAGAGGAAATCGATTCTTTCATTATCTTCATAGTTTAAAAGCACCATCTGTGTTGCTCAAGTCAAATATTTTAGCAGCAGCATGTAAAATAATGCATGACAAAAAGTAAATAGTAACACAAGTGAAAGTAGTATTCTCATGTAACAACAAACTTTTTTTACCATTTCTACTATTACACATTGTAAGAATTTATAAATATATGGTGAAGATATGTTCAAATATATAATGTTTTGCTCACGAGCTCACTCGTGTTTTTTTATACATCATTATTAATAGTTTTCTAAAAACTATAGGGTGTTTTTTCATAGAAACGAGAGCAATTAAGTAATGTACATGCAATACGAGATCAAGAGGATGATGAAAAACTAAATGTTTGCTGTAATGATTGCATTAAAAATGATGCTATGACGTTATGAGTACAAGCACTATAGAATTACAAATATTTTATTTGATTGATATTTAAATTTAATGTCTTTTAAATAAAAGGTCTGTTCTTGAAGTGAGAGAAGTTGAATTGGATGGTTTTATAGGTCAACAATTAAATTGATGTTATTTTACTAGTAATTATACTTATTCTGTTATAGATTATTCTCTTCCATAAAAGTACTGTACAAAACTGTATTATAGTGCCTTCAAAGTGTCTGTTAAAATGACTAGTGGTGACATTTTAAACTTCACAATTAAATACAATAAAAACACATATTTATTATTAATCTGTTTTATTTTTCCTCTGTAAATAGGGTTTTCAAACAATAATTAAATTTTTATATGGTGTAATTTGCGATTCAGTTCTTCAAATTTGAGAATTTTTCGAATGAAAAAATCACCATAACGATGGGCTACTTTTGTATCTGCGATATGAATCATATCATGATCAATGTAAAAGTCCAACTGTAACAAAATGTGTTATGAACTACTTTTTATATTCACAGCTAATATACAGCAATAATAGTTAAATAAATTACCTCTGAGCCAGATTGAAATTTGCCATGTAATCCTGATGCCCCTTTTGTCCAGACAATGTTTTTCATTTTATGTTTAAAGCATAGTAAATGAATGGTTAATGCACTAACTTCCTTATCTAAATCCCAGCTTTCATCAGGTCTAGTATTACTGCACATGAAAGTTGCTAGTTTACTTAATGGTAATGTAGTATACAGTTTTAAATATGAACGAATTGTTGGTAACATTTTCTGTTGAACAACTTCATCCATGAAGACCTGAGTTTGATGTTTGATGGCCTCTCGAACATAATCTTCATTTGGATTGTCAGGATTTGGTGGTGTAAGAGACAAAAACTTTGGACATGCAAACAGAAAGCAGGACTCAAACTCTGCTAGTTCTCCATATTGCATCTTGTACATTTTTTCATGGTAATTTTTATCGCGTAGTGCTTGTTGTAGTCCTTCATCAATACACTGAGGATGAAGTACAAGACAGATTGCTAATAAATGATACATTTGCTCTGTTTGCTTATTAATTTGGTCATTCTGATAACTTCTTGTTGCGAATAATTGTTTTGTTCTTTGAATATACAACAAAATTCCAGAGAATGTTCTGATTGCATCTGCATATCTGCGCATCATCATATATGCAAAACCAACATAATATGCTGTTGATATTTGACAACCAGGCACATGAGAATATGCACTTTTTTTATAAAGTTCTACATTTTCCAAAACTTTAATGGCTTGATAATAATCTCCCAAAAGAGAATGCAAACGTAGAAGACCTACAAGAGAAAAATATCCGAGCATTTTATACAAAGAATGTCTTCCAAATACACCCGCTACTGAATCTGGATCTCCTCCACTTGCAAACACCTCTAATTGACTTTTAATTTTTGATTTGTCAACTAAATAATGTAAGACATTTAAGACACAAAGTACATCCCATATTTTATTATGTGCATTCAGGTTTTCAATTTCTTCAGGTGTCTTATTTGATAAGTTAGCACGATATTGTGTGAATGATTGAAATTGATAAACAAATTCATCAATCAATTCCCATAACCACTGATCAGGTAATTCTAATTGGACAGGTGTCTCTGGATTTAATATATAATTAAACAGATCACAATAATTATAAAAGGAACCAAGACGTTGTTCTAACGTTGGCCCTTGCATTCGAGCATAAATATGACGATAGTAAAGTTCTTTATAGAGAGTAAGGAATACTCGATCATTATCAACTATATGTGCAATTGCTTCTGCATCTGGCCAAGAAGATTTATCGAATAACTGCTCTGAAATTTTCGGAAATGTTGTTTCATAAAGGTTTTGTGTTTCAAAAATCATGCCTTCGTTTATACAATTTCGGAGAAATACAAGGAAATTTCGTACAACTTCTGGTACTTGACGATAGCTTAATCTGTCATATTGGTCGCTATGAACATCTGATGGTCCATAATCATCATATGCATCATACTGAAAATTGTATAAATGTTATCCTCATTAATGTAATAACACTCTTGAAGTTACTGTATAATTAATAAATACCTCGCTATAATCGTCGTACATGATGATTAAGTGTATCTGATTTTATATCAATAATCTTACCGAACTTGTATGGGAAGGTAACAAAGATACAAAAGCTAACCAAGAAGAATTGTAAAATGTCCACGCTCCACGAAACAGCGTAGTCATAAACTACTGTAAGTTAAGATCCATGTTGTACACTCGCGAGCAAACTCGGCTTCCGCTAGAGGAAAAAGTGACGTCGAGAAGGACCTCCTACCACTTGGTAAATTTGTTTTGTTGTGAATCTCGCCCTCATCTTGTAGCGGCGTCTAGCGTAAGCTTCACAAGCGTGAAATTCAAATTAAGGTGTTGCGTTCTTCTTAGGGAATTTTAAAGCTTCGTGGGAAATATGGCGTGAGCTAGCGCCTATGGGGCGCTTTTAATTGTGATTTTGTATTTGAGTATTCAATTAAATAACTATTTCAATTCAAACTGTTCACAATTCTTTAATTTTAATTTCAACACCCTTTTACACTTATATAAATGAATTTAATTTTATAAATACTCTCTATGTTCGAGAACGCGTCTGGATAGTTGTAATGTCCAGAGATGAATGGTGGAAGAAAAAAGCAAGGAGCGTCATCTCCTTGCCGAATTATAAAAATAAATACAATTTGTTTATTAACAAAATGTCTTAGATACTGACATCCAATCAGGAAATTATTAATTAATTAAAACGACTTCCTATTTGCTAATCCATTCCCTGTCATTTATCAACTGTCCAGTTTGCGAGTGTTTAACATCTTAGCATTGGTTTGCATATTAGGAGAAGGAGATAAAGAGAAATTATTCAAACATAAATAACTTGAAATCTATCCTTTTGGATGAGTAACTACTGATTTCAAATCGTTTCCT